GGAAGGGGAAACCTGCTTCAGAGTTGGAGCCGTGTCTCTCGTACGAGCTTTGGGTAAAACATTTGGGGTTTTTTTCATGCTGCCTCTTAAATCCTTCTGGTGAATAAACCCCGCAATTCAAGAAGCGTCCTCTCTTTGCTTCAGATCACTGTAAAAGATATCGAAGACTTCGAAAAGAGCTATAAAGATTCAGAAGAAGAACTCGCTGAAACCTGCTTCAGAGTTGGAGCCGTGTCTCTCGTACGAGCTTTGGGTAAAACATTTGGGGTTTTTTTCATGCTGCCTCTTAAATCCTTCTGGTGAATAAACCCCGCAATTCAAGAAGCGTCCTCTCTTTGCTTCAGATCACTGTAAAAGATATCGAAGACTTCGAAAAGAGCTATAAAGATTCAGAAGAAGAACTCGCTGATATTAAAGCAGCGTACGTGGATTTTGAGGGTGACATGGACAGAATAATGGAGTCTGTGTTGTGTGCAGACTATACAGATGAACCAAGAATACGGAAAATCATAGAAAAAGCCATTGCCTCTGGAGAAGTCCCATCCTACAAAGCTTTTGTGAAAGAGTCTAAGCAGAAAACGATGGCAAGAAAAAGGCGGGTAGGTTATATCAATCAGGGACCACAGGGAAACATTATTTATAATACTCTTTTAATCTCCGTTGGTAGAAATAAACAAAACTTTCTTGAGACAAATGTTTGCCACAGGATTGATGGGTTACAGATCTTGCTCAGTATCTTTGATTTTAGCATTTAGTCACCTGGGTCCTCCACCCCCACCCTCCCAAATTGTTGTGAAAGGCTTTTGAGTTGTAGTAGGCTGTGGCCTATTCTTTCTTTTATTTTGTCATTATACACAATGGCTTATTATAGTTTTGCATGTCCCTGCATTTGTTTACAAAGCCATGAGTTGCTGGAGTTAAGAAGCGTACATGGGGGTGGAAATATATTATGCCTGCCTTTCAGCAGGTGTGAAATAACATTCTGGACTGAATGGACTTCTTCTCTAACCTGTTTCGCTGTTTTTTTGGGGTTTTTTTTTGTGGACACTTTGTAGAATATGCCATATGCACATCACAATAACCTTTCTCTAGTGTAAGAAAACATAATAGCCACTAAGACAAAAAAACCCCAAGTGTGAGTGGGGTGAACAGGGATGGGGATAGACATCTCATCGTGTTCAGCATTGTGAAACACCAAAAAACTGTCCCACTCTGCTAAATTGCAGAACGAGAATGGGCATTCTCCTTGACTGATCCCTCATCTGTGGCCAAACCTGGAAACCACTTGTGTTTCCTTGCAGCTGTTTATATACAGGTGCAAAATAAAGTGTTTGGTAACTGGTATAAATAAGACTTTGTCAAATAACATGCAAAATACTTTTTTAAAAACTAGTTTGCTATTTTAGGCTGAAAAAGAAGCTAGAGAGGCGGAAAAAACTAAAAACGAACTGGGCCTTGGTGGAGAAAATGACTTGAAAGCGCTGATTCAAGTAAGGCTTTTTGTATCTGTTGAAGATAATTAAGTTACTGGCTTACAATTGTATTTTCCCTGAGCATCTCTGTATTTTGGATCCTTGCAACTCTTCTGAGTTCCTGAGGTTAAAATGTGACCTTAACGTTGATGATTGATGTGCTTTTAATAGTCAAAAGTACGGTGTGGATTTTATTACTTATGTCTTTTTAAAAATTAACAGTTATTCTAATGTGCTTGTCCTTACTGCATACACAATCAAAATATTTAACTTCTAGTTTTAGGTGGTTAGGCAGGGAGTGTTAATGATTCTTTATTTGTGAGGGATTCCATGAGGATATAGAAGTTGATAGGTCTTAGTGTTTTACTTTTTTATCTTGGGGATTGAGGAAAGAAACATACTGTTTACATTCTGTTTCTCGGAATGTTTTCCATTTCTTCTTGTTGTCTAGTGGGCTTCCTAGAATGTTCATGCTTTATAATTTTTCAAATTGTTATGGAGCTTTGCGTCTAAACTAGAAATTGCTTTGCTTTTTCTAGTCTTATGTCATGATTTTTTTTTATAGCTGCTTTTTACCTCTGTCTTGATACTTCTGGAAGTTAGGTATAGAGGCTACGGTACACAAGTAGGCTTTTGCTTGACAGTAATATGCCTCTTGTAGCTTGTATTCCCTGCTTAATATATTCCCTGCTTAATATATTCTGCGAGTTTATGTAGCTATCTAACTTCAACAGAATAACCTGTACTGGGAAATAGTAAAAGTTTTGGGGTTTTTGTTTTGTGTTTTTTTCCCTCCCCCAGAGCAGAAACAAAGATCGACAAAAGGAAATGGATGACTTTTTAGCCCAACTGGAAGCAAAATACGGGAATAATGCTAAAAAAGGAGGAAAGAAGACTGCAGCCAAGAAAGCCAAGAAATAAAGAACTGTGTAGACTGAAATATCAGGTATCATTTTTGTATGGGAACATGTGGATTTGGGAGAATTTCAGGTTTTTTTCTGGATTACTGTTTCGGAGTGTGTGTGCATCAACTTGCAGTGACTGGAAGGTATGATACTGAAGGCATCACCATGAACAAGACAAAGCATTCTGTTTAAAATCCTTTAGGTGCTTTTCAGTTAAGATAAACAGGTTCTTGATGCAAGTTTTGTTACGGTAAGGAAGTGGTGTGATGTTTGGGATGCCTGGGTGTTTATTAAAGCACCTTCCTTCCCAGCACCTAATGGATATCGGTACAGCTCACGGTGAAACAGTGTAATCCCACACCTTTGAGAGTCTTCACTGCTGGTTCCTGTGGCTTCTCAGTTGGAAACCTTATCTTTTTGCTAGTCAAACGTTTCTTTTGTAACAAACCTTCTGCTGTTTTTAAAGGTCTTTGCACTTCAGCTCAACAGGTGTTTTTTCAGATATTCCAGTGGTTTTATAGAGATACTTTTGAAAACTGCAGATTTAATAAATGACAAGTTTTTGCAGAATTCTGTGCTATGTTGCTTCCCCAGCCCTCAAAGCTTTCTAAGTAACTGTTCAAAGCAAACAGGTGGTGTTGACTCTTCTGACTGATTTAAATCAAGTAAATACTACATACTTCTATAGCAGCTGAAAATATGGCCATATTTTTAACTGTGGTATCAGGTTAGATGAAAGGGCCACCTAGTGTCTTTACCTGCGGCGGATGCCTTAGGAAGGATCTGAGACTGCAGCATGTATGTGACTTTGCAGAAATGCTCTAACAAACTGGTGAGGTAATAAACTTAAAAATGCACAGAACAGAGTCAGTTCTGTGTGTTTATAGGATTCGTGGTGTCCCGTGACAAGGAGTTGCAAAGCTTAGAAATGTATTGCATGTTATTTCGATGGCATCACGGTCAAGTCCACAATGGGATGGTAGTGGCTAGCTACTTTAGTTCTGTTATTTCAGAAGTTAATTACTTCTCTGAGATGTTTAAACACTTGGAAGGTTTTTACTTCAGCTGGATTTAAACCACTTGATGTAGTGTGCAGGGGTATGAATTTGAAGGACAACTGGTTTTCAACTTATCCTATAGCTCAAAGGAATGAGGCTGCCTTCATTTTGTGGATCATTTTTCAAAGGCTTAGGAGCCACAAGGTGAATGCTTACTTTCAAGCTGAAGGTCCCCATTGCTTCAGTGATAGCATGGAGTAACTGGCTATTTAATAGAGCTTCCTGGGGGGAAGCTGGAGGTAGAATGTTCCCTCTGTTCTCTCTGGGCTGCTTTCAGAAGTTATCCTGATTCTGAGAGAGTACAGCATATCGTTACGTTGCATAAAACGACTCAAACGTCACTTTTACTATACAAGACAGATATCTAACAGCCCAGCAGAAGTCTCTCATGTCAACCACCTGTACAGAAACCAAAAACCACCCTATGATGAGACCGCTCTCACTCTTTTAACATGTTGACTCCTCTAGGCTGTAAAACACTACATGATGTCACTAGAAGTCTATTCAAGTTTATTTGTATATTTTTGTAACTCTTACGCACTAGGGCTACAGAAAACTAACTTGGTCCCTGAGGAATGGCACTGCTATAAACAGGATGCTTATCTACAGTTAGCTTGAGGTAACTAAATGACACACTGTACAATGCTCCAATAGTCTTAGACGTTCAAAGAAATTGTATTTTGAAAGGATTTAGTGAACAGAGGCTTCCCTTTAGCATCAATTTATCTCTATGCAAACTTAAGAGGTTTAGATTGAGCCCAGAGCTTCGCCCCACCACCTCTAGAAATGCAAGGGAAAGGTAACTCAGTTGCATTTGCACAGTTCTACTTTGCTTTCTTTTCCCTTCTTTTTGATTAGAGCATGCCTGGATCAACTGGACTCAAGAACTTCAATACTGATTAAAAATTATTAGCTGTTCTGTAGGTAGCGCTAACATTCGATAGATTGCATAACTTAAAAGCAGGGAAATAGGGGAGCCACTTCATAGAGAACACTGACAAGTTTTTTCCATTATGAATTGTCGTTTGGAAAATATTAATAAGGAAATTTGGAAAAAAGTGCCCTCTAATTGGATTATAAAGGAAGAGCTGTTTCAAGCAGTGTCCTAACTTTGTTAAAATACAGTAAGTGGTTATCTTCTCCTTGTCTTTACGCTTACTTGTAGTCTGGCGCTTACTGCTTGGGAGTAAGACCTTCAACGAAGCACTTATTTTGAGAAGCTTGCGTTTCGTATTTTTATCTTATCTGGAGCCACGAGGGCAACTACAGCAAATACCTCCGGCACATCTGTCACGCAGTGCAGAACACATCTACTAAAAGCTACTTTGCATCTGTGGGTTGTGCAACTTCACGGTGGAGTGCAGAAATCTTGTGTAATTGCAGGTATTTTTAGCAAGGGAGCCGGACCTATTCTGTGAAATTACCATAAAGAATCTCACCAGGAAGACAATATACTTTCTTTGAATACTGTCTGGAGCTACTCGCAGTAAAAGGCTCCTTTTTGCCTCTTAGACTTTCTTCCGTCTCTGAGGAAGAGTGTGAGTATGTAACACAGGAAGAGTCAGTGGTGTGCCGCCCTTAAAGCTGTCAGTTTTGTTCATCTGGTTTGCTACCTTATTTTCACACAACTGTGTTAATATCTGCTGCAATTACTACAGGATTCATAACCTGCCAAAGCAGTATCATGTGCAGTGCTTCCTTTTGATAGTATAGTATTGCTTTAAACACATAAATATAGCTTTAAAAAATTAAATTACTACTGCTACGGAAGGCCTGATGAATCTTTTGTAAAGCTAACGGAAAAATCAGCAGGTTCTGCACCACCTGCCTGTAACAACATGAACCAGTCACAAGCCACTAACAGGAAAACAGCAATGACAGAGCATTTGCTAGATTTTCTAGGAGTTAGGCTTTACTGGAGTAGATTCACCCTTCTGCTGGAGTATAATAACTTTTTCTACTGGTAGAAAATGGAATGTTTATGTATACCCCTTCTAATCTTTGGCAGCTGCTTCTTAAGTTTATATAAAAATAACTATTCGTAAGGAAGGGTGTTTGGAAACTCTCTGTAAACAGTGTTGACATTGCTGGGAATGAGAGGTGGTTCCTGACTGTCTGGAGATGGATGGATACTTCTTCATGGCACGTCAGAACCCCTGTTTGCTTTTTGTGACTGGTCCACTTCGACTGTGGGCTTTCACCGAACCATGCAGCTGCAGACCTAACAAACAGAGATGAGGTACACCTTTAAGATACTTCCGGAAGGTATTAAAAGTCAGTACCAAATGCATCTCCTTCACCTTTAAACTAAAATGCTTCTTTTTGGCTTTTTATTCTACTATGTGGCTATCAACTGCCACATAAATGAAATGCCACACTATGAAAGCTTGTGCTTTCATAGTTGCTACTGTATTCCTTGATCTCTCATGAAGTATTCAAGTCTACAGAGTTCTTCTGCTGATTTAAATTTTGTTGCTGTTAATACAGCAGTCACAAAACTCATCTTGCATTTACAGGTACGGGGTTTTTTTTGAGAGGAGGAGCAGAGGGGAGCAGATATTTAAGCAGGAACCACTCCTTTCTTGTTTAAAAACAAGTTACTTCAGTTTAGCGCCTTTCTTAAAATCAAGTTGCCTTTTGTACCACTTAAATTATTAGCTACTGAACAAGCTAAAAGACCTCTCATCTCCTCTTAATACTCACCCATGTGCTTGCTACCTTAACTTTTGAGGCTTCTGCTAGCTTTTGCAGCTTCAGTCCTATCATCTTAGTATATTTTTACGTGGGAAATTGTGACAATTCCATAGGGAATCCCAAAACACTGCCATGAAAAGAATCCAGGGTAACTTGTCTTGACAGACCAAGTCTTCAGAAAGTGCATCTAACTCGCTGCTCCGTGCCACCCCCTCCAAGGAAGGGGATACTCGACTTGGTATTGAAGCTAACAGGGAGCGCTCAAGGTGAACTCAGCTGACGGCTATAAAGAAGGCATTCAGAAAAAGCTGTTGTAGGGAACAAAAGTGAACTTCGGGCTCTGCCATCATCTCTGAACAAACTTCCCTTTCACCTGACTAGACCGGCCCTTGTGTGTGCCACGAGGTCAAAACCTAAATCTCTGAAGGTAAAGTTGAAATAATTAAGGTTCATTGGTCTACTGTTGAAAATAGTCATCTTATATGCTTCAGTATAGCTATACAGTCATAACCAGGGTTGTTTTGTGGTTGTATTAACCATAAACAATTCAAGGAGATGACTTTGCACAGAAGGAAGATAAGCTAGCGGGAAGAGTATCCGTTACGTTCACAACAAAAATGCCTTCCTGCTGCTCCAATACTTGATCAATTAAAAATAAGTCATTTTAGATGAGATTCGTTTTAGGTTTTGCTAAGTAACTCCACAAAGTTCATCCAATTGTTACAAACTGAACAGTACAAGCATATTTTGATTTCAGAGTATGCATGTGAATTGTACTGGTGCAGTTACTGGCTTTAAGATATACTTTGAGTTATCTAGTGCAGTACAACCTCTTCCAGCTGCAGTGCAAATGAGCTTCTTTTAGACATAATGCACTTTCTTTATAGCCGAGCAGAAGAAAAATCCTTGGACAGAACGTAGTTGTTGCTAGTTCCTGTTTAAACTGGCAACTCCTGCTCTTAACTTTGACGTGAGGGGCACTGGGGCTGACTGCATTAAGCTGCTTTAAATGATTTAAAATACTAAGTGGTAATAAAAAAACACACCCAAGTGTATTCTATGTGCAAGTACCAAACTTGTATAATGGGAATTTTAAAACATGAAATAGAATTTTGAAAAAACTCCTCAATGTGATTACGTATTTAAGGAAAGCATCCCTGTCCCAACAACCTACCTCTTGCTTGATTTTTATTAAATTTTATGACTGATGAGCATACCTGAACCTGTCGATCCTCTCCTCGTCCACGAGTGATTACTATAATCA